AAGTAATGGAAACTGTGCTATGATGAAAACAAGATTTTTTTCCCTTTTGTGATTAAATGGAGAGATAATGGCCTGGCATAGTCTAATTATTATTTAGTACCCATTGTAGAACTAACATTTTTATGATTTACTCTTTCCAGTAAGATAATTTTTTAAAGCAAAAATTTGGCCTCAGAAAATCAATAATTAAAGATGATGGTGGGGGCGCCTGGGTGGCTCAGTCGGTTAAGCGTCCGGCTTCGGCTCAGGTCATGATCTTGCAGTTCATGGGTTCGAGCCCCCTATCGGGCTCTGTGCTGACAGCCAGCTCAGAACCTGGAGCCTGTTTCAGATTCTGTATCTCCCTCTCTCTCTGACCCTCCCCTGCTCATGCTCTCTCTCTCTCTCTCTCTTTCAGAAATAAATAAAACATTTTTAAAAAAAGATGATGGTGAACATAAGAAGGAAAGAGATGCACAGTGGCTGACCTCTAAAGACTTTTAAACATATTCAACGCAATACCTATCAAAATAACACCACTATTCTTCACAGACCTAAAACAAACAATCCTAAAATTTGTATGGAACCAGAAAAGAACCCGAATAGCCAAAGCAACCTTGAAAAAGAAAACCAAAGCGGGAGGCATCACAATCCCAGACTTCAAGCTGTATTACAAAGCGGTAATCAGCAAGACAATATGGTACTGGCACAAAATCCTAGGGCACCTGGGTGGCTCACTCAGGTAAGCACCTGACCTTGACTCAGGCCATGATCTCATGGTTGTGGGTTCAAGCCCGCTTGGGGCTCTGTTCTGACACACATTGGGCTCTGTTCTGACAGCTGGGAGTCTGAAGTCTATTTCAGATTTTGTGTCTCCCTCTCTCTCCTTCCCTTCCTCCACTTGTGCATGTGCTCTCTCTCCCTCTCAAAAATAAATATTAAAATGTACCAAAACCCATAAAATATCTAGGAATAAATCTAACCAAAGAAGTGAAAAACCTATATGCTGAAAACTATAGAAAGCTTATGAAAGAAATGGAAGAAGACACAACAAAAATGGAAAATATTCCATGCTAGGAAGAACAAATATTGTTAAAATGTCAATACTACCCAAAGCAAACTACATATTCAACGCAATACCTATCAAAATAACACCACTATTCTTCACAGACCTAAAACAAACAATCCTAAAATTTGTATGGAACCAGAAAAGAACCCGAATAGCCAAAGCAACCTTGAAAAAGAAAACCAAAGCGGGAGGCATCACAATCCCAGACTTCAAGCTGTATTACAAAGCGGTAATCAGCAAGACAATATGGTACTGGCACAAAAACAGACACGCAGATCAGTGGAACAGAACAGAGAAACCAGAAATAGACCCACAAACATATAGCCAACTAATCTTTGACAAGGAGGAAAGAATATTCAGTGGAATAAAGACAGTCTCTTCAACAAGTAGTGCTGGGAAAACTGGACAGCGGCATGCAGAAAAATGAACCTGGACCACTTTCTTACAGCGTACACAAAAATAAACTCAAAATGGATGAAAGACCTAAATGCAAGACAGGAAGCCATCAAAATCCTCGAGGAGAAAGCAGGCAAAAACCTCTTTGACCTTGGCTGCAGCAGCTTATTACTCAACACATCTCTAGAAGAGAAACAGAAGCAAAAATGAACTATTGGGACCTCATCAAAATAAAAAGCTTCTGCACAGCGAAGGAAACAATCAGCAAAACTAAAAGTAATGGATGTAATGGGAGAAGATATTTGCAAATGACATATCAAATAAAGGGTTAGTACCCAAAATCTTAAAAGAACTTATCAAACTCAACACCCAAAAAAACAAATAATCCAGTGAAGCAATGGGCAAAAGACATGAACAGACACCTCCAAATAAGACATCCAGATGGCCAATCAACACATGAAAAAAGGCTCAACATCACTCAGCATCAGGGAAATACAAATCAAAACCAAAATGAGATAACACCTCACACCTGTCAGAATGGCTAATATTAACAACTCAGGCAACAAGAGATGTTGATGAGGATGTAGAGAAAGAGGATCTCTTTTGCACTCATGGTGGGAATGCAAACTGGTGCAGCCACTCGGGAAAAAAGGGTGGAGGTTCCTCAAAAAATTAAAAACAGAACTACCCTATGACCCAGCAATTGCACTACTAGGTATTTATCCAAGGGACACAGGTATGCTGTTTCGAGGGGACACACGCACCCCAATGTTTACAGCAGCACTATTAACAATAGCCAAAGTACAGAAAGAGTCCAAATGTCCATTGATGGATGAATGGATAAAGAAGAGGTAGTATATATACATTGGAGTATTACTCAGCAACTCAAAAGAATGAAATCTTGCCATTTGCAACTATGTGGATGGAACTAGAGAGCACTATGCTAAGCTAAATGAGTCAGTCAGAGAAAGAGAAATATCGTATGACTTCACTCATACGAAGACTTTAAGATACAAAACAGATGAACATAAGGGAAGGGAAGCAAAAATAATATAAAAACAGGGTGGGGGACAAAACAGAAGAGAGTCTTAAATATGGAGACCAAACAGAGGGTTACTGGAGGGGTTATGGGAGGGTGGATGGGCTAAATGGGTGCAAGGCATTAATGAATCTACTTCTGAAATCATTGTTGCACTATATGCTAAGTTGGATGTAAATTAAAAAATTAAATTAAATAAGAAAAATAACATTAAAAATATATGTTTCTGATAATCTTAAAAAGAGTGGCAAAGAAACTAATTTTCTCTACCTGCAGAGGCATACTAAAAATTATTAATATTGGGAATAACTTAAAAAATTTTTTTAATGTTTATTTATTCATGAGAGAGAGACAGAACATGAGTGGGGGAGCAGCAGAGACAGAGGGAAACACAGGATCCAAAGCAGGCTCCAGGCTCTGAGCTTTTAGAACAGAACCTGACGTGCGGCTCGAACTCACAAACCGTGAGATCATGACCTGAGTTGAAGCTGAACCATTAACCAACTGAGCCACCCAGGTGTCCTGGGAATAATGTTTGAATTATTAGGTAACCTTTCACATATCCTAAATCTTGAAAAATATCTAACTAAAATACATAAAGATATTTTGGGGGAATTCAGTTCCAGAGTTCAAATACAAAATTATTCGTATTAAAAATCTTTGTTTTGTGATGAGTTGTCTTTTAGTGTATAGAAGTTATCATTTGCTGCTGCAAACGGATGACCTGGTATCAGATAAAACTAATTCTATTGCTTATGTAACTAGTGGTTTTCTTGAGAATATTTGGAATTGGGTAGTCTGATTTTCTCCAGGGGATACAAATTTAAGTCATGACCTTTACTTCTTTTCTGAAAACAAATCTGATACTCTAGATAAATGAACCATTAGGCACCTTGGCTGAATTTTGGTAGAGAAGGTCAAAAAGTCCATTGAACTCATAACACCACTGCCAACACATTTGTGTCCATCTCTTTGTTGCCAATAGTGCTAACACTGAGCTATGAAAATGGGGAATGATTTAAGTACCTGTGGAAAACGGAAATGCTAATTGTGGTGGAATCTGGTTAACACTTGGCTCAAAAACGATTTCAGCTAAATTAGGCAGCAGGGCAGATAGCATCTGACTACTTGGATATTCCACAAAACATAAAGCATATCTACACATTAGGTGTAGTAATACATGTATGAGTCACAGGAACTTTAAACAAAATTCTAATTTAACATATGGTAGCCAAATCTGAAAAATTCTACTTTCATGAAATGTACATAATAAGAACATCCATGAATTTGCAATATATATACTCGTTTATTCTATAGCCAAAAATTAAATAAAGATAAAAATAAGACAATTGTGAGAAAATTCAAGATTTTTGTGAATTTTGAATTTTTAAACTTCTTTGGTTTTTAAGTAAAACCAACCAAAGACCATCCAACTGCATTATTATTACTTTTACTTAAGAGAAAGAAAGGTAATGAGGTATTTTCACAAGTCATCACGATGGTTCTAGAAGCATCCACAACACGATAAGCCTCTGAAGTTAATTTTAGTCAATGTAGAAAATTTTCTGGCTCTAGATGTAATCTGGTGACTTGGGCAGCACACGGATATTAATTATGATGTGACAGATCGGACTTCAAATTCTTAAGAATGGACTAGGATGGCTGCAAAGACGAAGTCAGTACACGACCAAGAAGAAAAGCTGTTGCAAATATTTCATCCATTTCAAACAAGGCAACATGTAACACCTGAGCTATGGGATGAGGTTTAGGGACCAGGATTTGGGAAGATTCAGTTCAAGAGTCCACAGGGGAGGCATGTTGACAAGTTTCCTCCGCCCATGACCTTTAGCCTAGTTGTCAATTCTTCCATATGGGGCAACTCTACGGGGAGGAATCTAGGGTCCACTACCAGGTGCGGACAGCGAGGCCTTTGTCCTAGCTTAACCAGTGAACGCCGGGAGAGCCGGAGGAGAGAAGAAGGTGTCTGGCCCCCCTCCGAGGTGTGACCCTGCCCTTTTCGCCCTGACTCCTCGACCTTCCTCCATTTATCCCCGCCCGGAGTTGTCTCTCACCCGGGCAGGACAGCTTGGCTAGAGGCACCAACATATTCACCGGTCCCAGGACTGTCGGTGGGACACAACAGAAGGGCTGTCTGTGGCTCGCCGCTGGCGCTGGACCTCTAGGCCGCGGGGGGCGCCATCACTGGCTGAGAAGGACCGACACCTCCGCCGAAGTTTGCCTCCCAGTTCTGCCCGCCGCTTTGGCTTCACGGTGTTCCCGCCTCTTTCTCGCTCTGCGCCGGCGCCACGCATGACGCGATGGCCGGCAGGGACTTCCGGGTCACGTTCCGAAAGAGGAAAAGGAAAGAGGCTCTAAGTCCCAGCCCACCTCCGACTTCAGGCTGAGGATTGGCTCTGCGCTGCGGCTCACCAAGGCGTGGTGAGGCCCCTGCGGTGCAGGTGAGAGAGACCCACAGATCCGGTGGTGTGACGCGCGCGCATCAAGAGTAGTGGGAGGCGGGGCGACTCATACGGCATTCTGGGAGTTGTAGTCCTCTGCTGAAGCGTTCCTCTGAGCCTGACTGGAGGTTTGCGCAGGAGCGAGGAACTGCCCAAGGTGAATTCGCTGACATCTGATTGGCTGTTCCGAAAAAATGACTAGTGTCCGCGGATTTGGGTAGAGACCCACGAGTATACTCGGCTGGAGAGCGGCTGGGAGGGGGCGGGGCTTCTGGGCGTAGGGCGCGAGCAGTTTGAAAGACTGTTGGTGTCGGTTCGGCTGCCCGGGTCGGATTCCGCAGTCCCAGCCCTGCTCAATGGCAAACCCTGAGGAGGTGCGGATTCCTTCGCCGCCCCCGCCGTCTCCTGCGTCTCCGTCGTCTTCAGACGCCTCGTCAGCATCTTCCCCCGGCGTCCCAGGGAGTCTGGGCTGGCCAGTTCCGAGCAGAAGCAGCGGCCGGACGGTGGACCCTCTGGAGGAAGTAGAGCTGCAGATCGGAGACGTAAGCGTTACTCGACGGGTCCCGGGGCCGCGTCCACACTCAGCCCGTGGCGGTGCCCGGGAGGAAAGGACTTAGAGGAGTCCGCGCACCTGCTCCGGCGCGTCTCGCCCTTCCTTCTGCGCGTTCGGTGTATGGTCTGGGGCATGGGATGGGTAAACCGGCGACCCAAAGCCCTTTGTCCCTCATCCCTGAGGATTCCGCCTTTAGATTCCGTGTTGAGGAAGAAGGGGTTATATACCTCCACCCGTCCCACCCCTCGCTGTTTTCTTTGCGTCTCGCCTTCTGGCTTCAATCACCCTCTGTAACCTGGAACCATTCTGCTCTGCAGCGCCGACGTGCGCAGGCGCTGTCAGCGCTCTTTTCCTCCTTGTTGCCTTTGGTGCCGCGGATCAGATTGTGATTTTTTTTCCTTGGGACTTAAGGTCCCGCTGCTCTAGTTGGCCACCTGCCAGAGCCAGCTTGCAATGCTATTATTGCGTTTTAGGCTTGCTGTGCGCCGGACGGATTTGGAGGGGTTGCTTAACGGCGCTTGTAGTCTAGATTGGTTTCCTTAACGGTTACGTCCAAGACCCCCACCCCCACCCCCCCATGATTGCGAGAATGCATAGTACGGTTTCTGTTGAATTGCGAATTCCCAGTGCGCGCACACCCACCTACTCACCCATCGCAGGACTTTCATTATATAAGGAGTGTTGGGTGGGTCAAGTGAATGAGGCATGTAGGGTGTGATCCGTCTGGGAGAACTGTGCAGTAGACCCTGCTGTGCAGATTGGAAACCGGCTAATGAGTTCGATTATCTTATTGCTTAAGAAGTATTTGTTTTTGTTTTAAAGATAACTAAAATGCTCAACAGTGATTTTGCTGAACAAGACCGGTTACAAGAGAATATGTACAATGGACTGCTGATGTGTTAGTGTAGGAACAGTGTTATTCCATATGATAGGTGAAAACCTTTGAGTAAGAAGTGAATTCCACCAAAGTTGGATATTTTCTGTATGTTTGATTTTGTTCGTTTTGATTTTGTTCGTATTTGGCAGCTCAGAGTTATCTGCTCTTTAGTCTATACATTTTCATGGTTTAAATAGCATTCACAGGTAAAAAAAAATCGTGGAGCACTGCCCTTGTTACTAAATATCAGTGAGTTTTTATTTTTTTAGTGAGTTGTTTATGATGAAGTAAGTCTGTAAGTCCTTCTTCGGATGCTTCTGGTACCTAGTGTCAAGGGATCCAAGTCCTCTTGTTGAGTTAAATGAGACTCTAGTGTATTTTCTTTTTCTTTCTTATTTTTTGTTTTAAAGATTAAAAAAATTGTTTTTATGTCTTTATTTTATTGTGAAAGAGACAGAGTGTGAGCGGGGGAGAGGCAGAGACAGAGGGAGGCACAGAATCAGAAACAGGCTCCAGGCTCTGGGCTGTCAGCACAGAGCCTCATGCAGGGCTCGAACCCACAAACTGAGAGTTCATGACCTGAGCAAGGTGGGATGCTTAACCAACTGAACCACCCAGGCACCCTATGGTTTTCTTTTCATTTCTTTTTTCTTTTTCTTTCTTTTTATTTTTTTTTTTAAGTAATCTCTACACTCAAGGTGGGGCCTGAACTCAACTCCCAAATCAAGACTTTCATGTTCTATACTGAGCCAGCTAGGCACCCCTAGTGTATTTTCAGTTAAAAAAAAAAAATTCTAACTTGTTATGTTCGGTGCACAATGGATGTCTTTCCAGTAGATATATTTCCTCAAAGCTTACTTCATATGAAAGCATTTCTTTGGTTCCCTGAAAGAGCTGTTGTTTTAAGTTTGAAGATTTTTTTTACTTTTAAGGAAAATAACTTGGACAATGGAGTAAAGGTTTTAAGCGATTTTTAGACCCTTTATAAAATGAGATGAACATCTTAAAAATAAACTTATATTGTTTCTTTCTTTCTTTTCTTTTTTTTTTTTAAATTTCAGGCCGCATTTTCATTAACCAAACTTCTTGAAGCCACATCTGCAGTATCAGCTCAAGTGGAAGAGCTTGCCTTCAAGTGTACAGAAAATGCACGTTTCCTTAAAACATGGAGGGACCTCTTGAAAGAAGGCTATGATTCTTTGAAGCCTGACAACTGATTTGGCTGTGTAATAATTCATACTTCCTCATTTATGATATTTGCACGTGGACCATAAGTATAAAGTAGTCTCCAGTAGTTCTGTATATTGAGAATGAAATTTTTTTGGTTTCCTTCACTTTTGTGAAAGCAGAATACTGATGTTATATTTGATGCTGGCAATATTTATCTTTAAATACTTTCTGTCCTCCAAACTTTCATAGACTCTTATGGAAGTTAATTTCATCAGTAGATAATGCTATCTACTGTGTTAACAGCAGAAAAAATAGGTAAATCATTATTTTATTTAATTTGCAAGAAGATGCCAAGAATTCCAGAGTTTGAAGCGGAGCTTTATTTTACAGACCAAGGGAGGTAACTTTAAGGCTCCCAGTGTTGGCCCCGTGCCACCAGGCCAAGTTCGCTGGAACTGACGATTGTGTCTGACTTGTGTATCCCCAGCACCTAGAGCAACAACAGTGTCAGACAGCCATCCGTCAGTGTTTGGTGAATAGAAGAGTTGACAGTACAGTTAAAAGCTGTTTCTTGTTCCTGTTTCTAGCATGAAAATTGTCATTGTTTTTCTAAAAAATACTTGACTACTTGAAGGAATACATTCTTTCTTTTTTACGAGAATTTGAACTTTAATTGAGGACAGCTTCTTAAAATATATGATAAATAGTTTGTCCTTTATGATGCTTTTTAAAAAGCTTTTGCTTCAGAAAATAAAAGCCTGTTTAGAGAAAGAATGGTTATATTTTTCCCTGTTTATTTCTCAGGTTAACTGCTCATTGATGTTGTTGTATGTTTGGTCATTCTCTTTAAAGTGCCTTGTCAAAATTGTTTCTGTACTATTACTTTTTGAGCTTTACACGTAATAAATATAGTTCTAAAGAAGTTACTATGTTTTTAAAGCAGCAAATTTAAATGATGTGATTGTTTTCATGTTATTTGACTTTAATGACAGTGTTCTACTTTACTTGTCCCATAGCTTATATATTCTCTCTCTGTCTTTTTGGTGGCTTGTGTCATATGTGTCAATGATTAAGCCAACTAATTCTACGTAACTTCTAGACATCTTCGATATGGTATCTCAATCCTTTGTAGATATGGAGTTGTGTACAGATATGTATTCTAAACCCACAGTGGGGTTATGAAAGTGGATGAACGGATGGGCAAAAAATAGTTCTGTTGAGTACATTAGGTTTTAGTTTTTGATTTTTTTTTTTAGTTAAAGCTAACACAAATGGTGTGTTCCTGTACCAAAGAGATACTTATTTTGATAGTAGAAAAATATTTTTCTTACATGTCATGAAAATTGCAATTTTTAAAATGTATAAAAATAAACTTGTTTAAGCAAATTTTATTTCCATTTCTTTGGGTTCATTATTTTAAAACTTGTTATTGAAGTATTTCAAACATAACAGGAAAAGTGAGCGATTAAAGAATATATGCCTTCCATACAGATTTAAGAAACGTTAGCATTTGGGGCACCTGGCCGGCTCTGTTGGTTAGGCGTCCAGACTTCAGCTCAGGTCTTGGTATCACAGTTCGTGAATTTGAGCCCCATGTCAGGCTCTGTGTTGACAGCACAGATCTTTGGATCTTCTCTGCCTGTCCCCCGCTTTTGCTTTCTCTCTCAAGAAAAAATAAACATGAAAAAAAAAATAAATGTGGAGCACCTGGGTGGATCAGTCAGTTAAGCGTGTGACCAGCTCAGGTCATGATCTCATGGTATGTGGGTTTGGGCCCTGCATTGGGCTCTGTGCTGACAGCTTGGAACCTGGAGCCTGCTTCAGAGTCTGTGTCTCCTTCTCTGTCTGCCCCTCCCCTGCTCATGCTCTGTCTCTCTCTGTCTCAAAAATAAAAATAAATAAAAGAACAACAAAAAAAGTTAGCATTTGACTATGCTTTCTTCTGATCTGTGTTTGTAAATGTCATATACATTTGAAACTTTTGTTACCGCTTTGATTACACCCCTTCTTTCCCTAGAGGTAACCATTGTCCTAGAGGTGGTGTATATTCTAGTTTGTGTTTTTATATTTTTAATACATAAGTATGTTTTCCAAGCACTACAAAATATTATTTGTGTATGTCATAGCTAGCCTCCAGATGGCTACAATGGTCAGCCTCCTGGTATTCATATCCCTGTATAGTCTCACACAGTGAAGAGTGTGGACTTTAATAACTAGTAGGAGATTGAGGAAACGCAGTGTGTGATTTCTGAGGCCCTACCTTTGTCCATTTTTTAGTAGGTTTTGTATTTTCCTTATGGGTTTGTAGGTGTTCCATATGTTGAATACTAACCAATCACCTGTTATCTGTGTTTCAACTATTGTAGTTTGTGATTTATCTTTGTATTTGATTGTGGAGTTTTCTTAAATAGAGGTTTTTAATTTTAATGAAATCTTAACCAATTTTTCATAATAGTGCTTTCTGGAGCTTATATTGGAAATGTCATAAAGTTATTCTCCTTTATGTCTTTCCAGAAGTTAAATTTTTAAATTTTTATTTTTAATGTTGAGGTGTTTAATCCATCTGATTAAGTTTTGCTTGTGTTGTGATTTTGGGATCTTTTTATTTTTGTATGTCTGTTGCTGTTCCTTCAAATATCAGTATTTCGAATGCTACATCTGTCATTCAGTTACCCTATAAGTGCTTGGTTCTGACCTCCCTATTCCCTAATATTTGCTTACCCCTATGCTAAGGTCCCCTGTAACTTATGTTATAGGTGTATCAGAAGTATGGTCTGTGCTACTTTGATTTGTGTGTGTGTGACTTCCTCTCCCAACCATGTATGTCTTTACGTTAGAAAATAAAAACCATGTTAGTCGACTTATAATTTTGTTGAATTGCAGTCAGCTTGGGTTAACTCCTGATTTCAGGAGGTGAGCCTTCTGTGGACACTTGCAGTTCATTCCTCACCACTAAAACTCATAGCTGCTGGTGTCAGGGGGCTGGTAGCCCCACAGCTCAGCTCTGTTGACAGCTTTTGTTGCCATGTGTGACCCACAGTGAAGTTCATCTTATTTTTAAGAGTGGCTTTAAAAAAAAAAAAGCATCCCTTTTTATTTTTCTTTTTTCTCCACTAAATGGGAGGGTTGGGGAAGAGCTCAAAACATAAACATTTTCTTAAAGACTTAAGAAATTATTTTCTTAATTTAGTAGCTCATTACCAGTTCTATATACGCCTTAGAGGAAAGCTTAGTATTTTGATGTAATTAAAAGGCTCAAGAGGTTGGGGTGCCTGGGTGGCTCAGTTGCTTGAGTGTCTGACTCTTGATTTCAGCTCAGGTCATGAGCCCATGATCCTGCCCAGCATGGAGTCTGCTTGGGATTCTCTCTCCCTTTGCCCCTCTCCCCCTTTTGTGCTCTCTCAAAAAACAACACAACAACAACAACAAAAAACAAAGCCTCAAGAGGCTAAAAGTCACTGTGTTAGTCACTATGCTAGGAGCTTTATAAGCATTATTTAATATTATCTTTTGAGGAAAGTGATGTTATTTCTGTCTGTAGAAACAGAATAGGAAGTAATTTGCCTGTGGGTCTCTTACACCAAAATTTGTATACTCTCTCTCTCCGCCCCTCCCTCGCTTGTGCTGCCTCGCTCTTTCAAATATATAAAAAGAAACAAAAAGTTTATTTTTGAGAGAGAGGGGGAGACAGAGAATCCCATGCAGGCCCTGCACTGTCTGTGCAGAGCCCGATGCAGGGCTCAAACCCACCGTGAGATCATGACCTGAGCTGAAATCAAGTCAGTACTTACCTGACTGAGCCACCCAGGAGCCCCTAGATTAAGTTTTTGAGAGCTCTAAATATGTATAAAAATCACTTGAGCAAATTACAACTGGAGGTATAGCACCTTGTTAGAAGGTTATTGCAAATGTGGCCAGGAGACATGATGTTCACACAAACTAAGGTATTGGAAATTGGGATAAAGTGAACTAGATAGATTTAAGAGCTGTTTATTAGGTTGATTAAAGGTGGGGTAGGTGATTTGATACGGTGGATACAGGAAAAGGAAGAGCCAAAGGATGACTCTAGGATTTTGAGGTTGGGCTATTGGTACCATTCACTAAGATGGTCTCAAAGAGACTCAGGTGTCAGAGTACAGAGTCCATAGTAATGACAGAGTCCATAATGATGAGGGAGCATAAGGCAAACTGAAGGCAACAACTGGTTGCTAACAACAACCAACCCCCCACCCCCACCCCCACTCACCAGGTGGGATTTGTGTGACATTCCTCAGGCACTCCTGGCTTTTCAAGAACTAAGGAAAGGGGAAAATAAATGGTTAAATGGTTAACTGAAGGAGATCACAGCCTTGCAGGACAAGATTCTCCATCATTTTGTAAAAAGAATTATCCTTCAACCTAGCAATAGCACTACTAGGAATTTATTCAAGGATACAGGAGTGCTGATTCATAGGGACACATGTCCTCCAATGTTTATAGCAGTGCTATCAACAATAGCCAAATTATAGAAATAGCCCAGATGTCCATCAACTGATGAGTGGATTAAAGAAGATGTGATACACACACACACACACACACACACACACAATGGAATACTACCGGACAATGAGAAAGAATGAAATCTTGCCATTTGCAACAACATGGATGGAATAGAAGGGTATTATGCTAAGTGAAATAAGTCAGTCAGAGAAAGACAGATGTCAAATGTTTCCACTCATATGTGGAATTTGAGAAACTTAACACAAGACCATGGTGGAAGGAAAGGGAAAAAAATCATTCAAACAGAGAGGGAAGCAAATCATAAGAGACTTAAATACAGAGAACAAACTGAGGGTTGATGGAGGGCAGTGAGGAGTGGAAAATGGGTGATGGGCATTGAGGAGGGCACTTGTTGGGATGAGCACTGGGTGTTGTATGTAAGCAATGAATCATGGGAATCTACTCCTGAAGCCAAGAGAACACTGTATACACCATTTGTTAGCTAGCTTGACAGCAAATTATATTTTTAAAAAACGTCTTTGTAAATTACAAGAAAAAGCAATCTTATCAACAGCCTAATCTCCAAAAACCTATAGTCTAAGTTTCCTGGAGCCCTAACATCACCCTCCCCTCCATAGTGATGTG